TATGCTTCAGAACAATTTAAATCCTTCAATGATTTCCATTATACGCCTATCACGTTTTTCTTTTATTGCCAGATTAAAACCTGAAATGGCGACATCCACCACAGGAGAACATGTCTCTATATAATCAATGCCAGGATATTTACAAATCTTCTTGTGACACAAGTCGTCTTTATGTCTATCCACTTGACCTTTATTTTTTGCACAAGAACACATTTATACCTCTACTGGCTTTATACTTTCAGGTGTTGGGACTATCCGTCCAACTTCATATTTTTCAGGTGAAATCAATTTTCATTGCGTATTTTTCATTTGGCCAATCATTTATCTGTCCAAATTTCATGACAGATTTGAGCTCAAGATCCTCGTCAATATTAATAATATTGAGCGCTACATTATATTAACAATATCGTCGATGATCATTTTTTTATCGGTTCTACTATTATCCAATAAAGACATAACTTATTAGGATCTCTTTATCTTATTATTTTCAGGTACTTGAGCCTCTCCCATGAGGTCTTATGAAGTGTTATGTCGTGGTACTCTTCTAGAGCACTTGCCTCCTTATTATGACCATCTTGAACATTTGCTCATCTCCTTCTTCGAGGAGTTTTATCTTTGGAATCGATTAGTCTATTATGCTTAATGCATGCCATAGACTCTATTTTTTATAAACTTTATTTTATTTGGAGCATTAGCAGCTGAATATGACATTTAGCTTTGGGTCAGCAAATACGCCTGGCAATATTTTGCAAATGAATTATCACTTGAATTTCAAGTTCACATTTTCTTGTACGAGAATCTAGATGTACTCATAATAATTCATTACATGCATTACTTTTTCAGCTGCCCATTTTCTCCCCCAATTGTTGGGATCACCAACACATATCCCTAGCCTTATTTGGGGATCCATCTTTGTGCATTGTGGTGGAACAATTAAATCATATAGCAAATTCATATTTCTAGATGGAAATTATTTGGTTCTTGACCCTGAACCGATTGTGATAGGGAGAACTTATCATAACTTGGGTAGATGTATACACGTGCTGTTATATATTAAATAATACATTACATACCAAATTTTATTTTGGCAGTTTTGTTCTCATAACCAATGGTTTAGATATAATTGGAGGCATACAATTTCTGCTAAATCAACTTGGATTTAAACCAGTATTATCAAGATAAATCATCATAATTTATATTCTGGAACTGTGCTCTAATAAATTGAGCAATCAATCTTGCAAAAGCCAAACTGCAAGTTGATAACAAATGCACATGTGACCATAGAATAGATGCATCTATTAAAATCATATAATAGTAAACGGTCCGCATGGAAGATGACTGAGCCCATATATTTATCACCTTTTATTCATTCCAGAAATCAAGGAATTCAATCCCAACTTTAACTGATATACCATGAGAATAAGCAGCACAAGAGAATTCTTGAAGAATCTTATATTTCTTCAATATATGCCAATGTAATTCTCAATTAATTTTTTCGCATCATAATTGAACCGAGATGGTCAACCGGTCATGCCAACTAATATTTATTTCAGTAAACCTCTAGTTTACTTGTGGCATGTGATTGCATCATCATGCTTATACTTGTGTAGTACAAATAGAAGAAAAATCAGGTAACCTTTCATATTTACCCGGTATGATTATAGTAATATAAAGATATTCAATCTTCTTTTTATTTATAGTCTCAATATGCCAACCACTTTGGCTAATATATTTGTAAACCAAAATGTTTCTTTTGAGACTTACTACAATATTAATGTCATGAACAATTTCATTTATCCGGGTAGTAACAAATTAGTTCTCCCAGAGCTCTTAAATGTATTTGTATTACAAGATCTTTTATCACATCATCCATATTATGAATGTCTCCTTCACAAAGAGAATCATATCATAATAATTGTCATGTTCAAAATCATCATAAACAAAATAATTTTTTACTTTAATTTTGCTTTTAATAACTTTCATAAGGCTTGACAAAATATTTTTGGCGTATCACATGTATGCGACTAATGATATATTCATGTAACTACACAGTAATATTCATTATCTTTCTTTGTCTCAAACCTCCCTTAGAGGTGAGTTGTAATATTTATCCAACCATGCACAAGTATATTATTATGCATAATCTTTATCACATATATATTTTCACATTCACTTTCAGGAATGAGTATGCAATCTCAATGTTTATCACAAGTCACATTCTCTTCAAAGAATTTCTCCCTTTTTATAATTACCATAGTGATAACTATTATTATTTTGGCCTTTCGCTCGCTCACATTCATTGGTCAACTACTTGTCTTTATTTAGACTTATCATGCACTGCTATCACATTCACTTCAAGAATGAAGCAAATCAAGTGGGATAAGCTTCATGCTTTTTCATGAAAAATACATTATTTTTCTTTAGTTATTATTATTATTATTATCAATATGGTACATTAGGACTCAAACCCAATGCCTTACCCATATAAAGGTATGCTAGGCCATAATGCGTTGGAACTTGAATCCAACGTCTTTTCATCAACATAGTGCGTTGGGACTTGAACACATCGTCTTACCCTCAATCTTTGGCATAATAGGCCAAAATTCACTAGGACTCGCACTCGAGCCTTTAAAATATTATTACTTCATAATTATAGGCATAAGTAAATTAACTTTCAAGAAGTCTTATATAACTATTTCAATCTTGAAACAGTTCCTCTGCAACAAAAATGTTAGCTATGATATATGCCATTTTTAAAAAATGATACAATCACTTTTACATTTTAATAAATTAATTAGGGAAAAGGTGCAGATAACCTATAACTACTTATATTTCAAAGACTATAAGAACTTCACAAAAAATAATTCAATACGGAGGAATGAGCCTTATGTTTCCAGCAAAACTATTTAAGGCTTAATGCATAATCGTGATTATTATAAATTATAACCATAATGAGTTTATATTGATTGTATATTCAAATGCCAAATTTGCAAGGTACCGTAAAATCGCCTACATATTTGATAATTTTGCTTTCAATGAAATACATCATGTGATGGTAAAAATATTATTACTAAATTGCCTTAATAATTATCTAACACAGTATGTAAACGGTCAGAACATATATATATACGTTGGAATATTAATTTTGTCCTATAAGAGATGTAGCAAATAAAGATATACCTTTCCAGTTCTTTATTTCACTGAAAATATTTAAGGCTTAATGCATAACCGTGACTATTATAAATTATAACTATAATGAGTTTATATTGATTGTATATTCGAATGCCAAATTTGCAAGGTACCGTAAAATCGCCTACATATTTGATAATTTTGCTTTCAATGAAATACATCATGTGATGGTAAAAATATTATTACTAAATTACCTTAATAATTATCTAACACAATATGTAAACAGTCAGAACATATATATACGTTGGAATATTAATTTTGTCCTATAAGAGGCATACCTTTCCAGTTCTTTATTTCACTGAAAATATTTAAGGCTTAATGCATAACCGTGACTATTATAAATTATAACTATAATGAGTTTATATTGATTGTATATTCGAATGCCAAATTTGCAAGGTACCGAAAAATCGCCTACATATTTGATAATTTTGCTTTCAATGAAATACATCATGTGATGGTAAAAATATTATTACTAAATTACCTTAATAATTATCTAACACAATATGTAAACGGTCAGAACATATATATACATTGGAATATTAATTTTGTCCTATAAGAGGCATACATTTCCAGTTCTTTATTTCACTGAAAATATTTAAGGCTTAATGCATAACCGTGACTATTATAAATTATAACTATAATGAGTTTATATTGATTGTATATTCGAATGCCAAATTTGCAAGGTACCGTAAAATCGCCTATATATTTGATAATTTTGCTTTCAATGAAATACATCATGTGATGGTAAAAATATTATTACTAAATTACCTTAATAATTATCTAACACAATATGTAAACGGTCAGAACATATATATACATTGGAATATTAATTTTGTCCTATAAGAGGCATACATTTCCAGTTCTTTATTTCACTGAAAATATTTAAGGCTTAATGCATAACCGTGACTATTATAAATTATAACTATAATGAGTTTATATTGATTGTATATTCGAATGCCAAATTTGCAAGGTACCGTAAAATCGCCTATATATTTGATAATTTTGCTTTCAATGAAATACATCATGTGATGGTAAAAATATTATTACTAAATTACCTTAATAATTATCTAACATAGTATGTAAACGGTCAGAACATATATATACGTTGGAATATTAATTTTGTCCTATAAGAGATGTAGCAAATAAAGACATACCTTTCCAGTTCTTTATTTCACTGGATACAATTAAAAAAAACAAAGATATGAAAGTATGAATGGGTTTAGATGGATGTAAAATTTATCTTTGTATTATCATCCAAGACATTTTTCATTGTACTTGATCTCATTGTCTGCTTATAATTTACATAGTCTTGACGTAGAAGATCATGAAATGAGCAATTCGTGCTGATATCGTGTTATAAAATAAAAGCAATTTAGTAAAACATGAATAAGAAATGTTGTTATGAAATAAAAGCAATTTAGTAAAACATGAACAAGAAATGGAGATAGAGAGAAGGAAGAGATTTTCTTCTTCAATTGTGTGTATTTTCTTATCTATTACAAGACCTTTATATGGGCATGAAAAGTGAAGAAAAATATGTCATTAAATATGTCATTAAGCATAAAAATATGTCATTAAACATTTGAGAAGATCATGGAAGAAGAGTACATATCCACCATAATTTTATTTTTCTTATAACAATAATATATAACTTTGCTTTTTGTACCAAAACCTCAAGGTGACAAGTCATTTACTTTTAACTTTAATATAAATTATTGAAAAGATTGTGCTCAAACTCAGACAGACATCCAAAAAGTCTGATATTTAGCCAATATTATATACTCCCACAAAGTCTGATTTCTTAAAAAGAAGGCACGTGGGATGCACTGATTAATTTAGAGGAAAAAAATAGTTACAAATACAGTTGCAAAGATCTATTACTGATCCAGATCTCTTCTCTACCTCTCTCTCAGCTTCAAACAAGTCAGCAGACATCTAGGTAACATCCTCGTTTTCAAATCCCATCTCCCAGGTTTAATTTGTTATTTAAAGTTTGTTATTTATGTTTGCCATTTTAGCTGATTGTTCTAAGGTTCTTGAAAATTTTCAGTTGCTGTGAGTAAAATGATGAATATGGTGCTTGTTTGTGAGATTGATCAAGAATTAACTTGATTTTATAAATTGGGTTGTTTGGAATTGTCATAAATATGTTTGATTTTCTTTTAGATATGTTTAATTTAATTCACCTACCAAGATTATTTGGATTATTATCTGTCCCCACAGGTTAACAAATTAGCAGTCATTATCGAACCAAATTTGGGGTGAGGACTTTGACATCAAGAGTTTATATAGCATGATCATAATTAGTATGCAAGTGCTTGATTTGGTGATTTTATTTTTAATTTTACCTTGTTAATGTAGATCCACCCTGCTTCCATTAGTGCATGATCAAAGTCATTATCATTTGGTTTGGGTTTCCAGAATTCTTTTCCCCATCGTACACCCCTTCAAAACCCACCTAGAATAGACTTATAGAAGCCTAAAGATTCTACTGCTTTCTTCATTTGTCAATCTAGTGATTGAACAGACAAACAAAGGCTAGTTTCCAGATATGTTGTTTGCTGATGATGTGCTATCTCCTGTATTCCAACATTTATTTCCTTTTTTATAATGATGGTGTAGGGGACAGCTTTCGCGCACCTTGACTATTTTACCTCCCTCCAGCACAGTTACTGGGTAGTAAGTGTGCCTCCAAGACTTGGGCATTTTTGTCTTTACTGGGATCTGAACCCTGGTCGTATTCCAACATTTATTTCTTAAAAACTCTTTGCTGCCTACCAGCATAATGTTATTTGTTCAATGACCACTTTAAGACTATGCTATGGAAAGCACTCGTTACAAGGGGTAGTCAAAATCAGGGACTGGTATATGTGGCAGGAAAGATATACATAATCATTAGGATAATGAAGAGTAAAGATGGTGTTGTACTGTACCCAAGGGGTCAAATTTTACGATGCTTACGCAATAATAAATATTGGCTTGAAATAAGTAAGCCTTGGAAGCCTAAAGAAAAAATTGTAGCACCAGATTGTGTTAAAAGTGATCGAGTCTCAATGATGCTTGCACCAGTGAAATTAGTACGCTGGCTAACAGAAATAAACTTTGGAACCCTAAAATAAGATTGAGACTACCCGTAGAGGTGAGAATCCTTTTTCATTGCGAAGAATATGGTGCTGGTGAGTGGTGATTGATAGAGTCTTGTTTGTAGTTCAGTTTTCTCTATCTGGTGAGTTTTAATTGAGTAATTTTTAGCTGTTGTGATCTTTTTCTTCTTCACCGTAAGTTAATTGTTTTTGCTGGAGTCCTATGTATCATAGAAAATAATGTAATGACAATCTCAAAAATGTTGTCTTTGCGAACTTCCTACTTCCTCAATTGGGACTGCAGATATTAGATGGAGTCTACTCATGTAATATTTGTCCTGTGAGGTCCTTTCTCCAAGTTCCACTTCTTCGATTTATTCTTTGGTTTTCTCTGGCTAAAACTTGTGGAGCTAAGTCTCTTAGACTTAAGATAAGTCACAAACAACTCTAAACCAGAGTCGCTATACTTACCCCTTAACACAGTGGTACTAATACCCATTGATTCTATTATTGTTTTAGCAAATCTTGCATGCCATTTTCATTATCCAAAAATCCCTAATATTTCTTGAATTAATACATGGAAAATTAAATGTTCATTCCCATTTTCTTTATGAGAGAGCAGAGAGCTCTGCAGCTAAAGATGATAGATATAAACCCTAACCTCCTTTTAAGTTTAAGACCCAAGATTTAAGAAAATCCTCCTTTTAAGTTAAAGAACAAGAGTTAACTCCAAATATGAACCTGAATCTGACAAGATCAGTCTTGTTGCATCTGATGTGGCATAAACTAATTACTAAATGGAAACCCAACATGTTTCAGTTACATGGGGTGTGGTGAAATACTTCTCCAAGTAATCTAGTTTAGATGTTTCTTAAATTCAAGATCCTGTATAGAGCGTAACATATGGATTTCTTTTGCTATGTTCTCTTGCCCGATTAAAAGAAGTGAATTTGACTATCTTCTTGAATATCTAAGCATTACATAAAATGCGTAAAAAATTCATTGTTCTCTTATTCTAGCATTTGTTTGATTCTTACTTGTTTTCGATATTAAGCAAAATGATTAGTTGAGTGATGCAGAACAAAAGGAATCTGGTAGCTTTTCTTACGAGTAACAACAAAATCTATCCTTTATTCCCTGTAGGTGTTTTACATAGGATGGCCTTGGTTACCACTGCTGAAGTTTGTGATGCAAACCCACAGCTTATTGTGAGTGGTGAACTACGTGCACTGCAGCCAATCTTCAAAATATACGGCAGGCGCCAAGTCTTCTCAGGACCTGTTGTCACTCTGAAAGTATTTGAAGACAATGTTTTGGTCCGTGAGTTTCTCGAGGAGAAAGGTAATGGAAGAGTTCTTGTCGTCGACGGAGGCGGCAGTCTGAGATGTGCAATTTTGGGTGGCAACCCTGTAGTACAAGCTCAAAACAACGGATGGGCTGGGATTGTAGTAAATGGTTGTGTAAGAGATGTGGACGAAATCAATGGTTGTGATATCGGAGTAAGAGCTCTGGCGCCACATCCAATGAAAGCCAATAAGAAGGGTATTGGAGAGAAGCATGTTCCGATAACCATTGCCGGGACTAGAATCTGTGACGGTGAGTGGCTTTATGCAGATACTGATGGTATTTTGATTTCAAAAATGGAGCTATCTGTTTGAGAATGTTCCCATACCATATTAAGTACACATCAGTTGTGAACTTCTATTTTTATATATAGCTTATGATGGGACTAGTGCTATATATGTATTGCAATTATGAGATCTGTTAATCTGTTATCTTCTGTAAGTCAAACTCATTATCACTGGAACACATTTAACTTAATTTTACTCTATTTCCCCTTAGACACTGTCTTTGCTAGTTGAACTGCAAATTTTGGAAAACTTGGCACTGAATAGTAGTCGATGGGTAGTTTCATAAGGAATCGTTAAAGTGTATTTCTTCAAGGTAAAGATATTCTTAGCTTTGAGCTCAACATGAAGTTGAACTTTAATTGAGCAGGTGCTGCGCACGCTTAAGCTTGTACCTTTGTCTTGTTCTGTGTTCCTGGACTTAAGATTGAAACTTGGGACATCTCATGAGGTTCTTTTGGTTATTTGGATGATGCTCTTAGCATTTCATACTTGGCCATGCATATATGTAATTTTAATCTCTTTTTAGATGTGACTCTTTTTATAGTTTCTTAGATGCTTAAATCAGTTTTCTTAGAATGGAACTTGTGTGTGCTGGTTAGTAGCATTTTATTCTTAAGATAGAGAATTTCTGCATTAACTGATAATTACTATCAAGAACTGTTTAGAAAGTAGCAGAAGCTGTCAAATGCCGAATGCATTTCTTGGTTGACCTTATGATTATGATAATGGTTGATTAGGAAAGCTATTTGCCCCTCACCCTTCTATCTTGAAGCTGGAAAACCCCCCCGGCTGTCGAGGGCAGTTTTGTTTCTAGACTCTAAGTAACTCTGCCAATCGACCTGCCTGTTCTCTTTGATGAACTAAATTTACCTAGAACCTAAATGTCTGCGTGTCGAATCCTCCAAAAATAGTGCACTTTTTGAAGATTCAACACGATGATGGTAGCATTTGAAAGTCCAAGCAACATAGCCTAGTGTCATGACTGATATCGCCCAAACTCACACCACTAATTTCGGTTGCGAGACGATCGATGCAATAATAAAAACCCAACGCGAGTCGGGGTCGATTCCACAGGGAGCTTGATGTGGGATTAGGTATATACCTAGTGTGAATGTATGACGTGCCTAAGATTACACTTCCACATTTTCAAATGTTGTTTCTACTTCTACTTCTACTTTTACGCTAACGCTTGTAGTTGTAAAGCTAAGAGACAATGTTTTTGGTTTTGGTTGTTTTTCAAGTTATACAAGATCTAGGGTTGCGACTTCCGCCTAGTTGGTTACCTAACAGATTTATAGCTTTAGACATGTTTGGTTGATCGGGATACAATATAGCAACAACAATAACAACAGCAACTCAGTATAATCCCACTAATGGGGTCTGAGGAGGGTAATGTGTACGCAGACCTTACCCCTACCATGAGGTAGAGAGGCTGTTTCCAATAGACCATCGGCATCCTTCCCTCCAAGACCTCCCCACATTGCTCTTGGGGTAACTCGAACTCACAACCTCTTGGTTGGAAGTTGAGGTTGCTTACCATCAGAGCAACCCCTATCATGAGGTATAGCAATCATACGTAATTACTCACTCTATACCTCTCGGTAGTTTGAGTGATTTTGCCCAATTCGGCTTTCTCAAGTCCAAATGGGTATCTCACCAAACAGTGATAAATGCTCAAGTCAGGTCTTACTATCTCTAGATTCAACCCTTTAATTGGGGCTATCAATTTCTTGAGTTCACCCCAATTTCTTGTTAGCCAAATTTTCCTAGACTTAGTCTCACTTTCTCAAGTATAGACTAATCCAATTAGGCATGAATCAATGTTTGCAACCATCAATTCTCAAATTCAAGCAAGAACTAAGCTAAAATTTATATACCCAATCACAAATAAGCCCTAAATCAATCACCCATTAAGTACCCATACTATAGTTGGGTCACAACCCTAGCTAAGTGCTTAGCTACTCATGGACAATGAAGAAATTAAAGAAGAAACTAAGATAAAATGCATAATAATTGATTAAGGAAAGAAAATCTAATGTTTAAATACTAAACTAGTACAAAATTGCCCAATACAGTAAATAAAAACGGCTCTAAGTGTTCAGGTGCACAAAACTTAACCTAAAAACGACAAAAAGATCTATTTATACCAAGCTGAAAATATCTGACAAAATTCCCCCTACGAAGGTTTTGCGGCCGCACAATTCTGTGTGCGGTCCGCACTTTGAGACTGACTGGTGGATATGGCTTTCTGCGGTCGCACAAAAGTGAGATGCGGTCGCACTTCCTCTAATTGTGCAGACCGGACAATTTTGAGTGCGGCCGCACCCTTGCGCTTGGACTGGATCAGGGCTTCACTCTGCGGATCGCACATTTGTGAGTGCGGCCGCACAATAATGATGCGGTCCACACATCTTCAAGCTCCCAAAACTAAAGGTCTTTGAATCTAGTCTTTTGCGGCCGCACAATAATTGTGCGGTCCGCACTCTGTGAAGAGATTCTATCAGTGCATTTTCAGAGTTTTTGGCCACACACAGTATTGTGCGGTCCACACTATAGCCCGATTTGCCTTATTTTGGTTCTTGTCCAATTTTACTCTTTTTGAGTTGATTTTCACTTCTTTGGCTCGTTTCCCAATATTCCTGCAAGAAAGCACATTTCATTAGTTCTCGGGAATACCTTTAAGCATTTTGAGCTAAAACGTAAGTAAAAGAGAGCAAATAAGCGTCCAAAATCCCTATTTATCAACTCCCCCAAACTTAAGTTTTTGCTTGTCCTCAAGCAATTAAAACAATTTCCCACCTCCACTAGAAAATGACTATTTTAGCTGGCCTAAGTTGAATCAAACACAAATCAATTGGGACCAACAATTACCCAAATGCTTATGAATCATTAACAAGCCTATGAATTGAATGTTAAAGCACAAATGGCTCTAATGTGACGCTTGAGCATCAAGGGCGACTTTGTTCATCAAGGAAGCTCACACTTTCATGCAGGTCACTGTGGATCCCAAACTCCTCCTCCTATACTCTCCGGAAGCTCATCTCACTTACGAATGAAGAATTTAATTCAATGACTCGAGAAAGATTCGCTTTTCACTCTCAAAAGAATGTCACAAGCCCGACTCTAAGTACCATATGCTTGCCCCTCATGTAGATCACTGCTAATGTAAGCTCGCTCGGTTTGAAATCACGCAAGGCTTTTTCGGCATGTAATGAAGGCTTTTGGACTAAGGAGGGAAATATCGGAATGGAATTGGTTCATCTTCCCTTTAGCACTCCATATTCTCTTTTTGGCTCTTACTTTGCCGACTTTTTGAGTCATTTTCTTTTCCCTTAGGGGGATTAGAGGGACTTACATCACTCTTTCTTTGTCATGCTATTCATACTTTCCTTCTTTGTTATCCATGTTTTGAACTTTTGCTTCTTCTTTTTTTGCATCTTTTCAACCCTTTCACATTATTCACTTTCTTTTTGTGTTTTTCTTTAGTTCTTCCTTTCTTTTTCTTTTTCTTTGCCTTTCCTCTTCTTCATTTCTTTTCTCTTTTTTTTGTGCCTTGAGACCATCTTTAAACTCCTTGTCTTTCCCCCAAACTTATGTTTTTTCCATTTGAATCACATGAGTGCTAAAGAAAGTTCAAGTACCAAGAGAGAGTAACTATAAAACGGGTAAAGGCTTGTGATGTGGTTATCGAATAAAAAGGCTTTTAGGCTCAAAAGGATTTACTAAGGATGATATCATTGGTGGGCCATGGAAGGTTTCAAAACGGGTCAAGGAAAGCCTACAATCACTTCTCAAGCCAGGCTAACTTAGAATTTCGCCTAGAAACACATTCGGGACAAGTTCTAGACCACTCGTACGGGTACTTGGACTTGTAACAAAATACATCACCTCTCAAACAACCAGATTGTCAAAGAGAATAGAGTCGAGGGCCCACAACAACCGCATTCAAGATTGAAAATCGCTAATGGTTCAACTAAACCACCCGATGATTGCCTAAGTCAACACAAGAGTCACAAGGTCACTAACTATGGCTATTTCTTTACAAAAACTTGTTTTAACCATAAACGCGTAGTTAAGTGTATTGGTACCAAGTGAAGAATTCTTGACCCTTCTTTATTCATTAATACTACTTGTTTACTAATCATCAAAAACTGACTCGATCCCTTAAGAAGGTTGTCATGTCATCCATCGTTGGGAAGAGCCACCCGGTTCACACAAGACACACCTTTGGAAAGAACCGTAGCATTGAGAAAACCAAAGGCTTATTGTTCACTAAAACATAAAAAGAAGCTAACAAATCAAAAAGAAGCTAATAAAGTAACTAAGAAGCTATACTATTAAGAAAACAAAATGAAGAAGCTATGAAATAAAATACGGAAAGTAAGGCAAATGAATATACAAATCGGGATGAATAAAATATATAGAAGTGGGATAAATATATACATAATGAGGGAGAAAATAAAAATAAAGATAAAAGAAAAAGAGTATTAAAGTTATTACAGGCCCAAATCTAATCAAATGTCATCACAGTCATCCAAAATGAACCAAAATAGACCACCCCCGAGAATAAGAATAAGCATTGTCCTCAATGCTTAGAAAAATCAAAACAAAAGAGAATATAGAGTAAAGAAAACTCCTTATGTGGTCTCAGGGTGACTGGCAGCATCACCACCCTCAGTCTCCTCCAACTGTATCTCATCATCACCGGGCTGAGGGACAACAGGGTTGGTGAGCATCTGAAGCATCTCCTTAGTAGTGAGGGCAGTGAGATCCGACTCGTCAGACTGGCCAGCTGGTGCCTCTGCTGATAGTGCTGATGGGTTAGCTGGTACTGATGGATTTGTCTTCATCAGTAGGTCAAAAGGCAAATCACCTGCTACTGTTATTTTCTTCACCTCCCTGCTCAAACTCTCCATTGCTTTCTTTGAAACCTGGGATTTCCTCATCTTCATCACTTGCTTGGTCAACTCCTCAATAACACCCCCGTGAGCCACCAGAGTATCCATAACAGTCTTCTGGTTGTCCAGAATCTTCTTCAATGTTTCCTCCACTGACGGAGGGACCTGTGGTGTTGCTGGGGTGGAGGACTGTGTTGCAACAATACTGGATATATCACATAACTTAGAAGTGGTTGTCTGCATCTAGTTGTTGAGGCTCGCCAAAGTCTGGGAGACTCGCAGCGCAGTGAGAGGATAAGTGGATGCGGCTGG